AAGTATACCCTACAAGTCCAACATGCATGGTAAATGCGCCGGTTCACAACCTGCAGGTTTACTCCGCCGGGTCTGTCATGGGGGGTTTTGGAGACACTTAAGAGAGGCCATCATTTTTCATCTCGCGAGCCCACAAATCAGCGGTTCCAGGCTTTGTTGAGATCGATCCTTGGATGTAAGAACTGGCATCATGGAAACCCAAATTCCCTCAAACTGCTAATTAAAACACCGAGAATCTTCCGAAGTCTCTTCTTCGCTGCAAGAAGTTTCAACTGCCCCATACGTAGAACCCACGGCGCAAACGCACCATGGGCTCTTGGTGCCTTTTTGCACACTCCTGAGATGCAGGTTACGTTATTGTGGATGCAAACATTTCCAAATAATGGTGCTGCGCAATCCAGCATCAGGTGCAATGACTGAGGTGATAACCTTTCAACCACCCCATGCTATCCTCTCCAGCGAAGTTATGCGTATAGCGGCTGTTGTAGCCTCAAGATTGACATACATAATTACAAAATGGCGTATGTACATGTCCTTGGAGAGATTGGTGCAAGCAAGAAACACCAGTCCCGGGTTTGTCGGAGCAGGTGGGCCATAGCCTAGTTCAAGCAGCTTGCAAAATTGATCATGATGAGAGAAGCAAGTATACTAGGTCCACACAAGCAGCTTCAGCCAAGGGACATGAAACTTAGGCTTCAGGATCCATGCAACCACTCTGAGCCTCATGTGAGCTCAACGACTTAAAACGCAGGACTGCAGATGTGTTATTTGCAAAATTAAGACCAAGCACCTACAAGAAATTGCCGACAGCTTCCGATGGTAGCCAAGAAAGTCCATGCCAGCATCATAGATATTCTTGGCCTCTTCCAGATTCCTTATCTCAGGAAATGGTCAATCGCATGAGAATTATTAATTACACCCAAAAAATCTATATATAGATTAGGACCCTCTAATAACCCCGCCAAAAAATCCTTAGCTGACTTATTTGCTGCCATGGGGGCAGAAACCTTCCAGCTGCTTCACTGAGGCAAAACCACTTGGTCAGCGCATTCCTTTTATAAGGGGACGTAAGCTGGTTTATAATAATTGGTCTTAGTTAATAAGGGTTTCTTGGGATATACGGGGGAAGCCATATATAGGAAAAACATGATATTATAATTTAGAATGTTCATTCGTGAATAGGATAGCAGGAGTTGTATTAATTAATTTCATTGTAGCACATTTGGCGTGCGTGTGGAAGATTGCACCTAAAAGGGGCCCAGGATCATGATTACAAATTTGTTGTACGTATGAGTAGTAGGGCTATACAAACTTCTAAAAAAAGCACCAGAATCAACGCCAGAGCATGTATCGGTAGCTTGGAATCAGAAAGCTCCAGTGCCTTCTCAGATTGTATACTCAACAAGTGCGCCAGCCACTGGGCCACGACTCTTGCATTATAGGCCTTTGTTGTGAAGTAAAATCCATGGCACTGCTTCACCAGAGCCTTCTCAGTGAATCTCCGCTGACTGCATGGGATTCGGTTCTCACGCCGCCAGGCTTTGAACTGCAAGAATGCATTTTCCAAGAGTTCCTTTCGAGACATAGCTGTCGGACACCCAAATGCTCCAGCTTCTAGCAAGGCTTCCCTTACAGGGTCATGAAAAAATCATAAAATGTGCGTATACAGAGGGTATAGCATTATAAATTCTACTTCCAAAGATTCGAGCTCCATGTAGTCGAGTCTCATTGCCCCACCGTTGGCTGTGTGAGCTAGCCCCAAATTTACCACGTGCATCCCACAGAATTTGACCATGGAGATGTCAAATCCACGGAGGTAAAGGAATGGGCCTCACGGTAGGGATATAGCTCTGAAAACAATTCCGCAATAATTGTATAAAAACCCGCTAGCATAACTCAAACCATGGATCCAAGTGACTTAAGCGACCCGGCCTGACCTTGTTCGCGATGAAACCTGCTGAAGTCGTCTCAGTAGCTATCCAGCCGGCATCGTCCCCAACATCGTAATATCTTGTTGGCCCATCATCTGCAGTGGCATCGCATAGGAAGCAACACCTCTTGGAAACAGGTGTATCTTGTAACCTCAGAGTCCTCTCATGCCATTTCCAATCTCCCTTGAGTTCGGCGCAGGCGAACTTGCTCCCGCCTGCTAGCAGCTGATTTGCCTTCTGCATTTTGGTCGCAGAAAGACATGAGCCACTGCTGTTGCAGTTAGGGAAGCGGCCCTCGAAAGCTAGGTTGCAACTCCATACGATGTGTTCCAGAATTGGGGTAAGTGTCTTCAGTTCCGTCTCTATCATGAGCTGGTCCTGCATAGCAAACAGCAAGAATTGACCTAGGCGAACGTTCTTTGGCTTGAACAGTGTCAATGACAAGAAGATTCCAGTCACCTTGTCCTTCGGGTCACCCAAACAGCACTCGTCCCCAAACAAAGAAAATGGTATGTGTGCATCAGTTCCCGGAAAGAACTTCGCATGGGGTTGGCCATGATCTCGCAAATGTTTCCAGTACTTTTCCACCTTTTCCAAAGGGCAGCAGAGTTTTAGCTCTGTGTACAGGTAGTCGAGGAGCTCATGCACATCCAACACTGGCACATTTGTTGCGACTTCTTGGCCATCTTGCAGAATTGTAACTGGAACCAGGGTTGGCTCCTTATTATACATAGATGTTTATAGCAGCCTAGCTATATTTATTAGCAGAGTTACTACATTAATTGACCCGAAATTTGAAATTATTTGCCGGTTTGGTTCGAACATGATTACAAACCCTTTTTATTGTATGCGCCGTACACCCCAAATTTATATTCCCTTTAGAATTTATAATTCCAAAAAAAAACACAAAACTGCTCAAAGCCTGATCCAACAGTCTAGAGGGAGCGTTATGGTCCTGAAGAAATCCCGCGCGCTGTTCCCAGGTTTGAACCGCATCAACTGGCGCATCCTGCTGCCCCTGAATTTGCCGCGAGCTTCCTGGAAAGTAGCTATAGGTTTAGGGATAGGGTTCTGAGGCTAAGGGGTTCCACGTAGGGCAGATCTAGATCCTGGAAGAAGGGTTTTCTTTTCTTGGATAAGGGGGTTCACCATGGCCAAGTAGGGCCGAATAACTTCCTGGAACGTATATAGATTTTCGCTTCTTGGGGTAATATTCTGAAGTTAAGGGGGTTCACCATGGCCAAGTAGGGCAGAATGGTATTGGGGTAAATTATTTTAGGAGGAGTGTACAGTTTAACTATAATCTAGACCAACACTGGTTTGTGGAACCTCTGGAAATCCAATTTGGCTTTGACGGGGTTTCAATTTGGGAATTATGGGGATATGTACCTATCGGTGCTATAAAGCCCAGCAGCCTCAAAGCTTGCTCGTGCATCAACCATGGCAGCTCCAACCGTAGTAGCCTTGCAATTGGACAGGTTGCGTAGAGGAAGTTGTATACGTAGCTTGCAAACACACTGACATTATAATACAGGGCTCACCATCAGAAATTTTCTCGATCATGTTTTGTAGAAGTCCATCATCTTTGTCACCCAGATCCGAACCTGGCAAGAAACACATATATGGTGGATTGTAGAACCATGTACGTACACTGCTACACTTCAAAGGGATGCTTTTTCCGCAGGGCACGTGCATGAGGCACTGTCTAGGCAACGCATCTAAATTTGCAATCCCAATTGCAATTGTTCGGGAACGGTGCACCGCCTGCATTCGTGATGTCTACACTAGCAGATATAGCGTGCTCAATGCATTCCAGGTTCCCTCGATCTACAATATTAATACAAATTGCCCGCTAGCTAAACTCCATACATTGCAAGCTGCGTATAACAGGGGTAAAATCGGAGGTCCCCAGGAAGCATCAAACATCCATACCATGAACGATTGTGGACGTATTTGAGTCATGCAATCGCATGGCATCAGAAGCAGATGGGAGACCATTCGCAGCAGCCCGGGATCAGCCCAGGCTTGCGCAGGTTGGAAAACAACAAAATTGAGCATGAGGCTCAGACTCCACGTTGCAAGTAGCCGATGTGATCATGATCACATGAGCTAGAAGCAAGGAAGATCTCCCATCGTACATGACACTAGAACGATGCGCCCCAACAGCTGGCTAGGATGGATCACTGCGTCTTGCGCCCTTTCTTGGAGTCATTTTTGGGCTTGCTGCGAGACTGATAATCCTTGTAAATCTTGTCAAACTTCTCACAGGTGGAAATCAGGCTGCTGGTGAGGTCTCCCATGGAATCAACCTTAGCTACGCTGATTTGATGCGAGCTTCAACCCTATAATTAATAATCCCAAACCCTATATATTAGTATAATACCCTATAATGAGAAACCATACACCGTTCAAATAAATCCTGTATGAAAACCTCATAATTATGATACCTGCGTTTCAAGCATAATGCAATGAGCCAAGGTACATCATCCTCATCATAAGATTTCTGCAGCGCCGCACGCGCTTCCGTTACCATCGCAGCCTGGCAGATCATACATGCTAGGGGGATTATTGGGGCATCCCGCGGGGTCTGCAATTAATCAATGGCTCTTGTATTTATTTTTCAATGGTTGGGGTACAGACTGTTTAAAGGCTAGTGTGTGGGACTATATATAATTAATTCTATGAAGCCTCGAACCTCAATGAAACAACCAATCCCCGCCTGAGCCTCCACATCATTCTTGATGGCAGCGAGCAAGTGGTCGCCCCTGAGTATTACAATTGCAAATATTCACGTACATAGGTTTTGAGTTTTGAGCTTCTATAAATGGGGACCCCACATGGTCGAAGAGCTTGTCTCCTTGCGCAGATTCGAAGCCAGCTTGATCTTGTCAGTAGCCTTTTCGAGGGCCTGGCGATGGAGCATTATTATATTGGGGTTTTCGTACCAGGGAAGTATCTCTAGTTTAGGACCTGCCTTTTTGGCCTTGCCTTTGATTTCTTTCCCTTTCTTTGGCCCATCCGGCTGTTCCTCTTGATCAGCAGGCTCCTGCATTTCAAGGAATGTGGTTATCAGTTGAACATGTACACGTTAGGATTGGGCATGCGCACAGCATGATCATGAATGAACTCCTGGGCACTTGGGTTCGTCTTCTTCGGTGCCGCTTTTGCCTTTCCTTTTGCCTTAGCCTTTACTTTCTTTGGGGACTTTCCTTTCTTTTTGCCGGCTTTCTTCTTTTTCTGTTTCTTTTCCTTTTCCCGCCCTGAGCTGGACTCCGCCGAGCCACTCTCGGAGCTGTTGCCCAGGGAAACTTCAAGCACATTCTCCAGCTCCTCCTCGTCAACCTTCTCCTCTGTATCTTCTGCGAGGCACAAGTATTGGATCATCTCCTGGCACAGGGACATCATCAGGATAACCCATTATCACACATTAGGGGCGTGCTATATAGGATACCACTTATAATAAATTAGCGGGTTTAGTTAGCTTATAGGGCTTGTATAGGGCTCAGGTCGGGAGTTTTGGCGGGTTTTTGGAAAATTATAACTAATAAACAAACTTGGAAATGGCTGCAACTGCATTTTTGACTTCATGGCCTTGTTCTGGGGGCATTCGGGGTGCTTTCGGATCTCTGTTCTAGCCCTCTCTTCATCAGACTCTTTCGCCTCAATGATGCATTTGGTGACGGATTCGTTCCATTTTTGCACCATTTCAGCACGCGTCATCCATTTGCGGAGACCGCGTTTGGAGTTGCGGTTCCGGCTTCGTAGCTTTGCCAGCAGAGACGACTTGCCCCAGTTGCCATCGCAAAGGATCCAGTTTTCGAAGAGGTAGGATCGTTGCGCACTGTTTCCCTTGCACTTGACGGCTAGATTAGCAATCTCCTTGGGGCAGTTCGGACCTTAGCCATTCGAATCAATAAAGGGTGTATGGTATAGGATTCGACCCAATAGAGACCATTTATGTAAACCCTATATTTTATCAAAATTTAGTTATAATACTGAATTCCCTGGCGAGCAGCTTGCCAAGCTGCGGTAGTACCGCATGTTTCTGCGGTGCAATCGTTTCTTTCGTTCTTCCTTTGTTTCAGGATCAGGCTTCTTGTCAGCCTGCATTCCGGATCCCTGCTCATCATCATCCTTTCCATGATTCTTGGATTGCTCGCATGCATCCTGACCATGACTGCTAGCAGCTGCGCATGCAGGCGCCGAAGCACGGGCATTCTGCATCTTCTCAATGGTTCTGGCCACATCTTGGAGATCAGCATCAGTCAGCCGGTCTACAGTGTGGCCTCGCTGCAAGAGTCCTTGGACACGCTGCCATGCTTCCAAGCCTGGCTCACTGGCACGAGGGACTGCTTCCTTCGGTTCCCAGCTTGCCCAAGAAGACCATTGGTTATCCGTAGACCCCTTATTTGCACTCTCTGTGTACCAGTAGCCCCACCCCCCATGGCCATAGTTTGAGGACCACCACTGAGACCCTCCATCATCACTCCACCCATCACTCCACCATGACTCCTTGCGCTCAACCGAGGCTGGCTGCGAGGACGGCGGCGTTGCCGTGGTTGATGCACCATCCTTGCAACGAGGGATCTCGGATACTATAGAACTTTTATAATTATAGGGCTTAGAATAGGTTTGGGGACTGGGCTTTATTATAAGTATAGATGGGTCAGGAGGACAAGTAGCTTCCCTTACTTATAGAGAGTTTCGAGGCTTCGCGCTCAACTCTTGGGATGGAAAACAACATGCGATAATGGGAACTGGAGTACGGTTTAGCATGATGAGGGTTTCCAAATACTTTCTGGGGGGCGCCCTTTATAATTATATTGCAGCAACCTAGAAATTTATGCATTGCAGAGTTTGGAGGCCTCTAGAACTGCTCGAACTCATTCTAGGGTTATAACAGTCCCTTTAAGTAGATAGAATATGCGGTATATGGGGATTATATATATATATAACTGCGTATACATGTATATAAAGATATATATATATATATGTGATGTACCCAAAACCATATCATATTCTACCCACTTAAATCTAAAGGGGACTGATCAATAATATTTATACAGGGTTTATAGTATGAGGGTTATAGGATTTTGGGGTTCATATTATTATTATAGGGTTTATGGGATTTGAAACTGGGATTCGATCTGCTACAGCACAATGAAACGGCATCCAAACATGGGGGCACTTTTGCAGGCTTTATGGTAATATTGCACATGTGGGGGCCCCTTTATGCCATAAAAGTTCCTTGCCTGGCTTCCTCTTTAAACCTCCCAAATTAAACCACTGCAGCACCACCGAGCTGAACCAAGACCATATGTAAATGCGTCTCATGTGAACCTCAGCAAGACCAAGCCGAGGTTCTGCCGTTTGCAGATCAGTCAACCGCTTCGGGGAAGCAACCTGACAGGAATCATCTCAGGCTATATATAGCTAATAAACTTACGTAAATGGAAGTTTTTAATATGATAAGTCATAGCTAAGGTTCCCAGGGGATCTGTACAGGGACCCACAAAAATACGCATAGTTGCATTATATTATATATACACATGATGAACTAGGCTAGATCTAGGAGGGAATATATTACATGGGAGCTGGAGCCCGAAGCTGATGACACGTGCTACAGAGGGTACAGGGAGTTTATTATTACAATTGGGCCATATATAGCATGATGGTTGAAAACATCCCCCTTAAACGAGTTTAAAGCGAAGCCAAGCTGCCAAATCCTTTGAAGCATTCAGAGGTTCTTGCCACTTTCTTTTACCAGTGGATTTCTGGGGGGTCATGACCTTCTTAGGCATTCTTTGTGGGGTCCGCTCTGTGGACGAAGAACGGGGTGCCTCTTGCTGTGGCAACTCAAGCTGAGAGTCGTGATCACGCAGGGTCGGAGAATAACCATGATCACCTGCATTGGCAGCACATGTAACGGGGCTTGCACCAGGGGCTTCTGTTTTCACACGCTTTGGGGTCGGTTGTGGTTCACACTTCAGTTGCCTAGCTGGTGGCGGTGGCATGTTGTGTGCTTCTTGTCCTGCCTTCTGTGGCTTCTGTGAATCCTGTCCTGGCTCTCCCGAATCCTGCGCTGGCTTCTGTGAATCCTGTCCTGGCTCTCCCGAATCCTGCGTTGGCTTCTGTGAATCCTGTCCTGGCTCTCCCGAATCCTGCGCTGGCTTCTGTGAATCCTGTCCTGGCTCTCGCGAATCCTGTGCTGGCTTCTGCCCGGAATCCTGTCCTTGCTTTCGCAAATCATCTCCATTTCGCTTGCCGATTGGCAGGTCCTGCTGGTTGGTCACAAGAGAGGTTTACACATGTGTTATAATAATTCTATAATAATTAGCTAATTAGTAAATAACAATGAACAATGACCTGAGGCACATATCATTGGGACTTGTCTACATTGCGCTGGCTCCTGGCTGCTCTCCACGGGCGACTCGGCTAGATAGTCTGTGCCTTTGCAAGATTTCTGATCGAGAAACTTACCTGCTAGAAGCCTCTGACCTGTGCACATGTACCCCATCATAAGAAACATTGCAACAAAAGCACCTTGCAAAGCCTTCGCTTTCAACGCGGCTGCAGACTCCAAAGCCAACTGTAGCGGTGTCTTTCCACTGCCATCAGCTGCTATCATTCTTCCTATATGTGTCTGTAGGTGTAGATACATCCCCCTCTGAACATGTCATATGTCCATGAAACACTCGACAGCCATGTTGCAACATTGTGCCCTCGAGCACATATATGCAATTATAAGCAACTCGGATGATCTAGATTTTTTACCAGGTTGGTTTGGACGGGGTCGGCGAAAGGGATAGGAATTTAGGGGGAAATCTAGAGTCACGCTGGAGTCACGGTGGAGTCACGGTATATCCTGGGGTCTGAAGAGGTAACTTGGTGCAGAGTCACGCCCGCATCACGCGCGGGTCACGCCAAAACCACGCTGGAATCACAGTTGCCCAGCTTGCGAGAAATGTACGAAAAATTGTTTGATTTGCTTGATTTACACATAGAAAATTAGGGGGATTTGTATACCTATGGCAGCTCTCAGCTTTCGATTCCTGCTACGTAGTACACACATAAAAGCATGCGCTAAGGACATGCCGCATGTACCAGTGCTCATTTCCAACGAAGGACAGGGCTTTGGGTGCTCTCCTTTCACGCAAGGCTTTGCAGACTTCTTCGATTCACCTAATTGGGAAATCATCTGCATGCATGTGCAAGCCGGCATGACCTCCTGCGTGCAGCAACACAGAGCAATCACGCCGAAATGAATTTGCATCAGGAAGCAGCCATAATCTAAAGACTAATTACAGGGCGGTAGCGGCCAGCTGCTTGCTCAGCTAGCAGGAACTGGCGGATTTCTTCCAGCTCGGCATGTTGCCACGCCATAGGTGGCAGGGCCTGCAACAAAGAGGCAATAATGGTATTATAATAGGGATTGCCTGCAGGGGTGAGATTCTAGAGCGGTTATGCAAACCACAGCTATGCCTTGGCTTTCGCAGCTGCAAGTCCTTTGTGGAGCCGTTCCCCAATCTTCTTGCCATCGTTTTCCTAAGCTGCAATTGCAAATTGGGGTAGACACTATCATTCGCAATAATCCCTACCCGAGCTTATAATTCTATAGTAGTATAATATTTAATAATATCGTAATAATTTATAAATTAGCCAGCCAAGGATCCATATACTTCAGGTGCATCCTCAAAATGGCATTGCAGAACTTGCGTGGGTATTCTTGGGTTTCCTTCAAGCGTCGGCCACCAGTTCTTAGCAGACAAACATCATGCATGATCATCAGGGAATTCCATACTTTGAACTGCAGGCAGCTTGCATTGTGACATGTCTACATGTGTAGTCAGGCCACACAGTCTTCTTTCCATTTTTGTTCACGCCCACTTTAACCACATCCTTTGATGACAATCCCAGGCGAAGCCGTCTCCTCTTTGGCAATTTCCGGGCAAGCCGCGGAATGAAGCCCCTCAGCAGGTGTTGCAATTGAATTTAGGTTTATAGGGATCCTTGGGAGCTTGTATGAGCGCATGAATTGCTGAGGTAATGACGCTGTGCCATAGGCGTGGGATCCCTTGCACGTGAAGTGGCCGAAGTTGCCCATCCAACTCAGCTAGCTAGCTTTATAATTTGGGGTCATGATCAATACACAGGATACCCATGCACATGTGAAGGTATGATCATTCCATTCTGAGGGTCTCGCAAAAACACTTTGTGAACGGGAAGGAACTTCTTCAGGACACGAAATATGTGCCGTACATAAGGGAGCCAACCAAGTCTGGATGACACCGGCTGCTCGATCAGGAAAAAGCAGTGGCGAACTGTAAGTAGTAGCGCCAGCAAGCATACGCGGGCTGCAATCCTGAGTTTATGCACATTCTAGATGGGACGCTTCGAGACTCATGCTGAAATTAAGCCGAGCAACTTGTTGCTAGCTGCCACATGTGGAAGATCTTCTCGCCCAAATGGGTGCTCTTTGGTTCGGCGTGCCGTTGCCGCATTCATGAACACAAATGAACTGCATGGCAATCCGATAGTGGCCAAGCCAAGACATTTCATCTTCAACACAGAGCGAACTGCGGAGATGAACCCAATCCTTTCATGCACGGTAGCACATGTCTGAGAGGCTACGCAGGTGAATCAAACTACATTATAATGCCAAGGAACACACTGTTGACGTCGTCCTCCATGGGACGTTGATCAATCTCCATGTACTCACTTAGATCCGCGAACACAGATAGAATGAAGGAGGAACATCCATAACCCTGGTATCGTAACCATACAACTAGCATTGCAATTGAACTTGGGGCCCAGGGTTTTGGAGGTCGAATACACGACAACAATTTGCAATCTTGGACCATAGCTGCTTATAAATAATTATATATTCTAATGCTATATAAAGATATATATTGGCATAGTAGATGTCCAAGATTGCAAATTGTCAAGCAAGCATCACTCCATGATGCGAGTTTCAAAACAATCCAGCACCCAACCCCCATAATACCAGGCTCTAGCTAAAAATGGTCAACCCCAAACACCCCAGGCCCAGGCTGTCGCGTGGGGGCTGGATTCCTGTTTTTTTTGATTATCGCATAGGGGGGCTGGATTCC